AGGTTACCGTCTACTATCCAAACGGCAAGCTGGGCTCCATGACCACCAGCGGCGCAACTTCTGCCAGCACTTCCGCTGCTGCCACCACTGCCACCACCACCACCACGACCACCACCACGACGACCACCACCACGACCACCGCCACCACGACCACCGCCGCCACCACCAGCATGCCCACCTCAACCACCACCACCACCACCACCAAAGCCAGCACCACAGCCACCACCACAACTAGGACGTCTTCTTCCAGCCCGGTGCCCTCCACAACAGTGGATTCAGTGTCGGCCAGTTTCCAGCCTGCCGAGGGAGGAGTGAATCGGGTTTGTCGTGGGTCCCATCCCAACGACAACAATCCAAGCTACTATTCGGCTCACAACTCCTCATCCGTGGAGACGTGCAAGACCGCATGTCTCGAAAATCCTCTCTGCACTGGCATTGAGTTTTCTGCCGGGCGCTGTGAGGTTTGGACAAGGCCGGCTGGCATTGGCACAACGAAAATCTTGGAGGGGTTTACTTGCCTCCGCTTTGAGCCGCCCGGTGCCTTTGCCTTCCGAGCTGTGGATGGCGGAGAGAACCGCGCATGTCGCGGAGCAACTCCTGGCGACAACAGCCCGTCCTACATGAAAGTTTTGACAAAACATCGCCTTTTCGATTGCAAAGAAGCCTGCATTGAAGATGCCGAATGTCATGGTATCGAATTCTCCCCTGGAAGATGCGAGGTGTGGACTCGGGACGGTGGCATCCAGGCCATCGCTTGTTCTTGCTGTCTCTAGATGTTTGCTTGTGCGACACATGCCAGCAAGCATAGCTTTGTCATGCACAGCCTGTATGGTTTCGTCGATGCAGGCCAGCTCCGTCGTCGAAGGCTTCACCTGCCTGGCCCGACCCTGGACCTTCCAGATGTTTGCACCTGTCAATGGTGAGAACCAGGCATGTCGCGGAGCTACTCCCACAGACAACTCCGGGACTTATTATGATGTAGTCGGAGACACGTCGTTGGACGCCTGCAAGTGGTCTTGTGTGGGTCGAGGCGCTGACTGCAAGGGCATCGAGTTCTCCGCAGGCCGCTGCGAGGTGTGGATTCGGACGCAAGGGATTGAAGCCACCTGGCCCCTCCAGGGCTTCTCCTGCTTACGCTACGCGCCCCATCCTCAATCCTTACTCGCCAAGAAGTCCAAGTCCCGCAAAACATCGTTTTTGGGCCCGTCCTTTGTGCAAACGGCCTACGCCTCTGACAAGCAGGCCGAGGTCTTCTCCTTGACGAGTGTTGAGGAGTCATTAAACGAGCTATAACTATGCCAGGTGCATGGCCTAGGTGACTTCTCCGTGGCTGTTCTGGGTCACAAGTCCCCCGCGCACTGCGGAATGTATCGAAGCCTGTGCCAAGAATTTACGTCAAGTTTTGGGGCGAGGAGGCGGCGTCTCCACAACTTATTCAACTGTATGGAAAGTTGCATCTATAGAATGTATACGCTGGTTTGCAGATGTTTGGAGACCTCCCTCGAGACATTCACTCTTTGCCTGCTGCTGCCGCAGTACAGCAACTCGAGGGGCAGCGGGCCTCAGCCTAAATTATGCGCAGCAGCACGCAGCAGCACATTGTCTTCTATTTCTGTAAAGCGAAGCAGACCGCTACTGCCTCTAACAGGATCGGGATGACATGGACACCAAGAGCAAAACAGTTCTATCAGGAGAGAAGATAATGTTCACTTCATGTTAAGAAAGGCCCCCCCCACCCCCCCAAGGATGTGAGCCCCAGCCTCCAAAATAAGAGTCCGGATCCAGCATCAGAGCCACTCATTTGTGTCATGAGTCTAGCTTGTGCTTCTGCAATGTTCGCGGATTTGAAGGCAGAAGTGTCACAGCCCAGCTTAGAGCCGAGCCTTAAAGCCGTTTTCAGTCCCTTGGAGCTATCATCTTTTTAGGTTTCATTTTTTCCGCTCTAGCAGCTTGGATTATGCAAATGGGGGGTGGTTCTAATTACGTTCTGGGTATTCCTTATAGCGGAGAATATAAATGCGAGGTTGACATTGGGGAATTAATGATAAATTTGGGGAATTGATGATAAATTTGTATATCGTAAAATTGATTCATTAACAATTACCCATAAGAAATAAGGAAATGATATATAATATGTTAATATAATTTCTATAGAAGAATAATAATAAATAGATATAATATATATTTTTTTAATTTAAGAACAAATTGATATAAGATATTCGATTTCTTCAATAACATATTTTCTCTAGTGAAATAATATAATGGATTGGATTAATATTGTCTTATATTGAATTTCATTCTATATATATCTCTTTAGTAGGATATAGTTTTATTCTAACCTTGAAATTCATTTCAATAATTATCTAAAGCTTTAAATTTAATAATCTTTATATTTATATATATATTTATTGAAATCTTTATTTTAATTCTATTATTCGTTGTGCACTTCTTCTGGTTGTCGATACGAAAGAACGAAAATTATGAGATTTGGGGATCGTAAATATATTTACATTTGCTTATCTTTATATAGAAAGGTCTTTAGATATGTTACGTGGTATGAAAGTATTTAAAATCTCGAGAAAAAAATGAAACTTGGTATTGTGTGGACCAAATTCTTCGGTAATTCATTTCTTTTTTTCACGAGATCTTCGATTAATTATCTTCTATGTTGTAGTTTCCGTTTCATTATGCTATGCAATAAAGGATTGAAGATTATCAATATTCATATATATTCAATATGCTCGTGAATAATTGATATTATATATACCGTCTATAATTTAGATTAATAGCTTCTAATATGGTAGCCCATTTTGAAGGCTTGCCGTATCTATCGCAGAATCGTACTTGTACCGACCGAAACGTAGAAACACAAGTTGCGGGCGACAACGTTTGAGTCGACAAGCCTCGGCAACGCGAGAGAGAAGCATGTTCATTTCACCTATTTCGATGCTCCTACCAAATATATTTTAAACTCCGTACGATATTCAAACTATCATCCGACTTCTCCATCCATCCATCACTTCACTACCAATCCTCCACCACTCCACTTTTACGCCCACACCCGCCACTCTTCCTCACTACTCATAATAAAGACGCCGCCCCACGATATTCGTCATATCTCTCTATGATGCTCACCCTCACCCTCGCCCGTTATATCGTAATAATTATCATAATAAATAGCCTTCTATTCCGATTAAAATTATCGAAACTAATAGATTAATATAATAAAATAGATTCATACAAAGATATCTAAAAAATATATAATAACATATTATATTATCCCAGATCGACTAACCCATTCCTCCCCATCCTCATGCATTTATTTCTCTAGCTTCCCTCACCATTATCGAATCGAGGTGGCCTAGATAATATTAGAATTAAAATAAATGAAGATATAAAGATTCTATTTATAAAGCCAGAGATCGAGAAATAAAAATAATAGAATTTTAGATTTCCTTTTTTTTATTTATATTTTATATTAATATAAATTAATATAAATTATAAGAAAAAATTTAAAAAAAAAATAAAAGAAATCATAGAATTAAATAATAAATTATTATTTAAATTTGAAGAATTTCCGAAAATAAAAGACCCTAATATAACACATCATATTTATCCAGCAGGAATCTGTCAGGTAAATCTGGATGCAAGTCAAGGATTCAAATAGAAGGACGGTCTTTTATATGGCGCATCATGATTCTTGCCGAGATCGCGCCTCAATTGATTTCTTTGATGTTATTCCCCTTCTTCTTGATTTAAAGAATGGATACTACATTGGGTACTTTCTGCATTCCAAGAAGCAGCTCTTGCTTTCGCCAGAGCAGACGGTCCTCAACTCAACTCAGGCACTGATAACAGGAGCTGTCACAATCAAGAGACAGACAGAGCTCCGACATAGATCTTGTCAAGCATTGTCAACGGCGGAAACAAGCGGATCCAACACAACATGTCCTGTTGGTCCAGCAGCTGATCCATCGGAGTGCGCAGTCTGCGGGATGCTTCTACACATCGGATTTGATGGTGCCCGTTGCTTAAACGCCTGTGCACGCTGAGGGCACAAAAGAACGAGCGAGTGAGCGGGTGCGTGATGCGGGAGGCATGGAGGCATGGAGGAATACAGGTAGGGAGGGGAGTCAGTGAGCGAGCGCGTGAGTGAATCGACCTACCGATGTTAGTCGGCCTCTTGCTCGTGCCCCGAGAACTTCGTAGGCGTTACAAATCAACGAGTTCGAGCAGCCTGTTGCTCAAATGCTGTGCTGATTCACGACATGCTGGACCGGTGGGCTGATGTTCATCATACACACACACAAACTGCCACGGCGGAAACAGCTGAAGCAACACGTCAACTGGCAGATCGCACTCATTGCTTCATTGATCTTCAGAGTGTGAATTTCCAGCCATTGACTACAGCTGTGCTCGGTTTAGTTCTCCAGCACGGGCCTGAGCAGCGTTAGCAGCGTGGAGAAAACGAATGGCCGCTGCTTCGGAGGCAGTCCTCTGCAGGCACACATCGACACATCGATACATCGAGCAGGCTCTGAGCTCTGCAGACATGGAGGAAGCCTCTGGAAATCGAAGCGTGTCCTTGAATTCTCTTCGATTTGCATCAGCTGAGGCAGCCTGAGATCTTGCGAGGCAGAGAAGCCCAGCTTCTCTTCCGCAATTGCATACAAGGTTCTGTGGGAGCAGTACAGCTGTGAAGGAGCGAATCAAGGCATGCGCCTGGGCCTCGCTGACGTCAAGGGCATGCGGCACTGCAGAGCTTAATGTTGGGTGCTTAAGCCTAAGCCTGAACAGTTTTTAGTAATGGACGTTAGTCATACACAATCGAGCACCACGTCTCATGCGCCCTCTCAGCGCTCCTGGCCTTGCTCAGCTTTTGAGACTCTCGGCCCCTGGTCTCTCGAAGGCGTCTTTGCACCTGCGCAGAAGCTCTCAGTCTCAAGTCTGGCCTACAAGTCAGCTGTGCGGTGCGACCTAAACTCCAAGGCATGATCGTGCTGGGATCAACATGTCGCTGACATGTCCGACCTCCTCAATGCGACCCCGGAGCTCATCACAGCCACCCAGCACAGCCTCCAGGATCCAGCAGAATGCGCCCCCCTGTCCTACTGCCTCAGCAAGCAGCGGTACCTCGACCTCCAAAGCCGCAGAACTCACGCGGAGCTTGGCTTTCAGCTCCTGCTGCACGCGACTGCACAGTTGCCCCAGATCTCGCATAGACGCGGCCACAGCTCCGAGGGATGAGGAATGACAAGGAAAGGCTCATTCCAATCCAAGTATCCTGTTGGAGCTGTGCTTCCTGCACGCGTCGCACGGATTGTGTCCCGGAAAGCTGCAACAGAAAACCCAGTCTCCTCCTCAGCCTTAAGCTGCATGGATGATGCAACGGCGAGATCGCCGTCCAGCAGTGCACGTCCGATCTCCCACACCTGCAGAGCATTGCAGAGCACAGGCTCTAACCAGAGTTCAACCTCTGTATGTGGCCTCTGGCAGCAAAAGCTCCGCTCCATTTGCATCCTGCTGCCGTCGCGCATCAGCATCGTGAAGTGCTGACTTGACCTCAATTCTGGCAGGCAGGTCACAGCTGCGAGACGGGCACGCAGCACAATAAAGATACGGGGTCAAGCCGCAGTTCAGCTCCCTATGCATCCACTCGTTCATATATTTCTGAACCCTGAAGCCAGTCGAATCGAACGCGCCCGCTAGAAAAGCCTCGACTCTCGACGGAACAAGAGCAAACAAGTGAACCAAGCCGCATCAGAAAGTGCGCCAAGGGATTTCAACAATCGATGACGATAGTCTTGAACAGCATTGTGCACCTCTGCCAACCGTCTTGAAAGCCCGTGGTGCCACGCCCTGGATGCTCCAGTGGGTCCAGCCCCAGCACGGCTCACTGACGGGAGAGATTGGAGCGAGGAAGAGCCAGAGACTAAATTGCTGGTAGAAGTCTTCCAACGACGCCGCCCATCTTCGGAACCCGAACGCCAGGTGCTCTGACTTGCAGACGGACCGGCCAAATACTCCTCCGCTCGCCGCCTCGGACTGCTGAAAATCTCACTGCTTCCACTGAGCCTCGGTTCAAAACCACAATGCCGTGCAACACACGCATGCACCATGATCGGATCTGTGACGGTGTGTGCGGATGTTTCGCGTTCCAGTCTTAGAGGGCCGGGCTGAGCTGTACTCAGGTCTCAGAGAAAATATCGCAAGAGCTGTGTGTTTGGACTGTAATGCACATTGGCATCTCACTTGTTTACTCCCAGATTGACAGTGTACAGTTGCCCTGTGAG